TGGCTGTTATAAATAATGCAGCAATACGCATTGTTATGGAAGTATCTCTGTGGTATGTTCACTGTGTGTCCTTTGGGTATATACCCAAGAGTATAGCTGGGTCAAATAGTCATTTTGTTTTTAGTGGAATCTCCATACTGATTAGGGTAGTGGCTGCACCAGTTTACATTCACATCAGCTATGATTTAGGCCTCTTCTTTTTTCATGGCCTTGCCAGAATTTCTTGTTATTTCTTTTCTTTATGATGTCCATCCTAACCAGGTTGAGATGAAATCTTAGTGTAGTTTTCATTTGCATTTACCTAATGGCTAAGGATTTTAAGTACTATTTCTGTATGATATTATCTCATTGATGGGAGCGTGGGAGAAAAATTCACATAAAGGAAAGGGTAGTGAATATGGTCAAAAGATATAATTGAAATAAATTGTCTTTATTAAAACTAATACTGTGTACAATGAATATAAACCAATGAAGACATTTTTAAAATATTTAAATTTTATTTATGTGTATTATATATATGTATGTGTATGTGTGTGTGTGTGCATGTGTGTGTGTATGCTACATGTGTGTGGACCAATACAGAGACCAGAAGAGTGTGTCAGATATCCTAGAGCTGGAGTTACAGGTAGTTGTGTACTGCCCGATGTCAGTGCTGGGGACAGAACTCCAGTCCTCTGCAAGAACAGTAAGTAGTCTTAAACACTGAGCCATCTCTCCAGCCTGAAGACATTTTAAAAAAGCACTCAATAGATATTAAAACACCAGACCTGTTAGGCTTGGTGGTGCATACCATTAATCGCAGCACTTGGGAGCCAGAGGCAGATTTCAGATCCAATCAGAACACAATTGGTTACCAATATAACAATCATGCCACTTGCACCAGTGGGTACATCTTGATCTCACAAGTTTTCTAATATTTACTTTAAGCTTATTGTTCCAAAAACTGCTTGACATTCTGAGTATTCTTGTGTAAATAAGGTATATAAATATAAGAAATTTAGACATGTGGAAAATCTTACTTCTCTTTCCATAGGAAATACATATCATTTTTTTATCAGATACTTTTCTAATTATCATCATAAGATCAGTTACCATATTTGTTAAAGTGTTTGTTAGATATTTTCTGGCTTTTGTGTCTTTCAATGTTTTTGCACTTCTCAGATTTCCCATCAGAAGATGGTGCTGAAGACCAGCCCTGCCTCACCTGCTCCCACACTGAAACCCCACTGTCCTCTGCAGTCTCCAGGGCAGTGATATCAAAACAGGATCCTGCCAGGCTTTTACTTTCTGACACAGGACTCCTCTCATGAAAATGCTGACTCTGATCCTCCTGTGGCTTAGGCAAATCTTCTCAGAGCTATGTAAATGTCTAGGATCTTGGAGATGGTGAGAGGGGTCAGCTGGTAAAGGATTTTACCACCAAGTCTGAAAACCTAAATACAATCCCCAGGACCCACATGTTAGAAGGAGACAATCAACTCCCTCATGTTGACCTCTGACTTCCATAAGCTTGCCAGAAACACACACACACACACACACACACACACACACACACACACACACACGTGCACACACAAATAAATTCCTAGATATATAAAATCTATCATTATCTCCATCAGTCAGCTGATTTGTGGGAAACCTGGATAGGACAGAGGAAGAGGTAAGAACCTCTGGGTTTGAGGTGAAAGTTTCCCTGACTGCCATATGTGTCAGAATCAGGGATAATGAATTAACTAATTTTATCTTTATGTTTACTAATAATGCCACAAGTTACTGAACCCATCGATCTAAGCCTCAGCATCCACAACCACAAAATGGTGAGAAGTAAAATATAGTTTAGGAATGGGAACAGGATTTCAGAGAAAAGTGCCCTTGGAATCAGTTCTTTGTGTGATCCCATAGCCACACATGTAAATTTTGTTCCAACTCCAACATTAAAATGACCTTTGTCGTTGGCTGAATGGATCTCTTGCTTATGTTCTTTTACCCAATTTATATTTATTTCCATCATCACAAAGTACTTTGAATGCAGACCTTAGTTTCCTTGGGGCAGGGTTATATTACGTTAGAATAGCCGTAAGGTCTAGCACACTATGTGCAGCCAGTAAATATCTATAATCAAATAAATACATAATTAAATACTATAATGTTTGCATTTCAATCAAAATAGGAAATACATTAAACATTTACATTCAAAGATTCCTTATCACTCTCATTCTTCACAAAGATTTAAAACTGATAACTAATGGAATTTATAGTGGTAGTTTATATTTTAAATTTATATTGTTGTACAATGGAGCAATTAGTCACTAAAGGTCTATTTGATCCTGAACTCTACAACTCACTTTACCTTGGTTTACATTATGCCTATTTTGAAGTTCTTTAATGTGAATTATATATATATAATGAATAATATTCCATTTAAATGGAACCATAACAAAGTAAATTACACCCAAGAAGAACTAAGTATTATACTTGAGTTGATGTATTGTCGTTGAAGGACTCTATACAGATGTGGGCTGGTGTCAGAGAAACCCAAAAGGTCACTACCTTTGGCTAATTGAAACAGGAAGAAATCTCTGTGGACAGAGGGCAGAGAACTTGGAGCGAGCTGCCTGACAGGATCCAGACATCTATCCCAGGCAGGAGCGAGCAGTCAGCTCTTGTAACTCACCCTCTTTCATCCTTCAAATGTTTTTCCAAAGTCATTGGTGAAATCAAACCTGAAAATTTTTAATCCAGAGTTCCCACTGGACAAAATGTCTTACAGAAAGCAGAATGAAATGGAAGAATCAATTTTTTGGAGGGAAGATTGAAGCATGTCAGCATTTCAGGAACTGAGCCGATGTCTCAGAAATCTTCTGGTTCTGCATAAGGGAACCACCCAGTATACATTAGAGTCCACACTGAAAGTCATTTTATGACATTTTAAATTTGACTTTTTATGGCATTGGGGCATATTGTGTGGTGTGTGCATACAAGCATGTGCAGGCGCACACCCGTGGAAGGCGGAGGAGGACAGTGTCCTGCTGTATCACTCTCCACCTTATTCCCTTGAGGAAGGGTCTCCCGTTGAACCCAGAGCTCACCAATTTTTGTTTTTCGACAGTGATGGTGATCAGCAAGCCCCGGTGATGCCCCTGCCTATTGGGTTGGGTTATACTTTTTTGTCTTCATATAATTTCAAACTTCAATAAAAGTCATATGAGTGGAAAATTAATTTGTGACCTTTACCATTTTTGCAGCAAGATTTGTTTGTATTTCATGTCAATTGTTTCTTTCTCTCTCTCCTCTCCCTCTCTTACACACACACACACACACACACACACACACACACACACACACATCTCTCTCTTTCCGTATATGTAAGATTCAAGTATCTCAAAAGTACTCTTAAAACACTTTGTTCAATGACAATCCATGTTATGCAATCAGAAATTTTTAGCTGAGCTGTTTATTTCAGTAAATTGTCTCAACATCTATGAACTTAAATTGCCCTTAGATTATACCCTATTCTCTTACTAGGGAAAAAATATGCATTGAACAGATTAAAAATCTCTCCTGGAATCCAGTTCTATATTTTGTGGGAATCTGAGACTCATTACCTACTTATGTGGATAGCAGAAGCCTGAAGAATGGTCCAAGAGATGAAATGAGATGGTAGAATGGGCCTGGGACAGGAACTAATGTGGTAGAAAACAAAAGGCAGGTAGAATCTACATTTAAGAAAAGGAAATCAGGCTGGAGAGATAGCTCAGCACATAAGAACATTGGCTGCTCTTGCAGAGAACCTGGATTTGATTCCCAGCACCCACATGGTGACTAAAAATTGTTCATAACTCCAATTCCGGGTGATCCAATGCTGTCCTCTGACCTCTGTGCGGACTGCATGACATGCACTTACTTCCATGCAGGCCATACAATCATACACACAAAATATATTTTTAAAAAAGAAAAGGAACCATATTGGAAAGGTATCACTTGAGAAAGGACATCCTGTGCATTGGAAAATGAATTAATAGACTCAGTGCATTCCTGAAGCCACTTGACTTCCATTGCTATAAGCCAGTTTTGTAATGGGAGAAACAAGCTAGGTGGTATTAATGGCAGGCCAAGGACATGGGGGAGTGGAAATGAAGCTCTGACGAATGGAACCAGCCACTCAGTCAGGTTTGAAAGGTATATTACCATTCATGTCCAAGAGGGGGGTCACCCATGTTCGCTGCAGCTACAGTTTTCAAATACATCTTATTTTCTTTATAATTTCCACAATTAAGTAAACGTGAACTTCATTCTCCTGCAGGTCTTTGTAGTGTGTCCCAAAGGGTGGCTTCTTTAAAGTTCCTATACTAATCTGAAAGGTTTTTTAAAGTGTCAGCTTTTACCCAACTTATCCAGGCTGAACTATCAGAGCATTTTCCAGAAAACTACTCACTGGCCAAAACAAACTCTGTAGAGGACATTCAACCTCAGCAGCCCATGCATCCCTGTCGTTTTTAACACGTTTTCAGACTTGGTTTTTCTTCCTCAGCTGATCTGCAACTGTGAGTAGTGAAATGGTAGATTCATAGTTTCTTTCAAACCTCATCTTTTCTTATACACACTGTATTATTTTTTTTCTTCTAATATTCTTCTTTTCTCCCATCTTTGGGTTTAAATGAAATGCTAATAAGGAAACACAGACCTCCTTACAGTTATAAATCTGCCAGTGTCCAAGTTCTACACGAACCTTTCTCATGCCGTTTCTCCCTTCATTCTGAGAGGCACAGCCCTTAAATTCTCTTTGCTAAGACTGAATAAGGCAGACCACTTGAGTGACCAAGCATAATAAGTAACAAGGAAATGACAGTTTCATTCAGCAAGTTTTTAGAGGCAGCCTGACACTCTGCTCAGCGTCCAGATCTTCTGGAATTCACAAGGACTATTAAGGGAGTGGGTGGATCCTGGTGAGAAATTCATGATATCAACGTCAAAATAAATCTCTGCCTACTCTACAGTGATGCATAAGCCTAGATTTCCTGTTCTAACCACTCAGTAGTCAGGTTGCCTGGACTTCAACTGGCAGAAAGATAACGTGTGGTTTATTAGGGCCCAAACTATATCTTTCAACTGTACTCAAGTGACAACTTAAAAAGGCTTCACACAGGTGACTTAAGGTATATGATTTTCTACTTTTTCTTTGCAGATGTCTTAACTGTGGCTCCTATTGTTTAATTGACTTAGATTGTTTGTAAATTTATTAGATGCTCTTTGTTGGCATGCAATTTAGATAGAACAATATTTTTAAACTATGAAAACTTCAATTTCTTAATGTACATAGAGTCTTTTTGAATATACAGCTGAAGTATATAGTTCTAATCTGATATTATTAGAACCTGTGACACTCTCACATATTTAAGCTAAGTAGACTTTTTCCTGACAGATCCAATGCAGACACTTGGCTGGAATGAAAAAAAAATCTATCTTTAGATTTTGTTCTTTCTCTACATTTCTTCCTTCCTTCCTTCTTTCTTTCCTTTTTACTTGTTTAAAAATCAATTAATTGAATTAGTTTTAAAAATTTCTTGAAATTAATTTCAGACTAAAGATAATTAACATTCTAAAAAACATTTAAATCTTTCTGTTCTCTGAGAGTACTTAATAATTACTAATAGGTATTAGCTACTGAAATCTAATGTACAGTATACTTGTGTAATTTTAAATTAGTATTTATTTTATTTCTTACTAGTCAAGTTCTTTGTATTTTACATAACTGAGATGTCAATGTACGTACAACTGGCTGTTTTTTATTTACTGTCCTGATAGCTGCTGCTTACGTCTTTTTGTTTTAATTGGCATATCTTCCTCAAGCTGGTTTCATAAAGACAGCATCTTTCAGGCACTGATGTGTCACGTACTTTGACCGGGCTTACCTCCTTTCTTTCTTTGACCTTCTCTTTCTTTCCCCTTTTCCTTCCCACCTACTGCTAAGTTCCTTTCTTCCCCCAGTCCCTCATATGTAATTTCATGTACCTACAGAACAATCTAGGATCCTACATGAAAGCAAGAATATTAGTACTTGTCTTGAGTCTGGCTTATTTTGCTTAATATGATGATATCTAGTTACACACATTTTTTTCTGAAAAAATGGCATCATTTTGTTCTTTGTGGTTGAGTAAAACTCATATATATATATATATATAATATTTTTTAAACCATCCGTCTATTAAGGGGCACCTAGGCTGGTTCCATCATTTGGTTGGTGTGAATAGTGTTTTAGAAACCATGGATAGTTGAGTATTCAGTGGTATGTTGATTTATAGCCCTTTGCATATATACCAAGGAGTACTATGCTGCATCATAGGGTACTTCTTCTTTTATTTTTAAGGTTTTAAAATTAATTTAACTGTGTATGCATGTGTGTGTGTGTATGTGTGTGTGTGTGCATGAATACTACCCCCCGACACACACATACACATGCCCAGGCACCTTGGTGCACATGTGGAAAATAGAAAAACTTTCAGGAGTCAGTTCTTGCCTTCCACCTTATTGAAATAGTCTCTCTCTCTCTCTCTCTCTCTCTCTCTCTCTCTCTCTCCAGGATCTAACTATGTAGCCCTTGAACTCGCTATGTAGACCAGGCTAGCCTCCAACACATAGAGATCCATCTTTCTGCCTCCCAAGTGCTGGGAGGGCTTCTTTTCTTCACTTCCCGGCTCACCATCAGAGTGCTAGGATTGTGGATATGTGCCACCACATAGGCTATGTACAGCTACTAAATTTAGGTTGTCATTTTTGTGTGACTAGTGCCTTTACCTGCTACTCTATCTCCCCAGCCCAGTTTTTGGTTTTGTTTTAAAAAATAGAATATTTTTCAGAGCTCAGCAGACTGCCAGAGAGTGTGGGGTTCTGGCCTCTCTCTGGCTTTCAACTACCAGAGGGCTTGAGAACCAAAGGGATAGCCTGATAGCCCCCAGATCCTGCCTCCATGTGGTGGTCCTTTTAATAAGATGATGCTATACAGCAGTCCCTTCTTCATGAAATAACTACCATCATCATGACTTCCACTGAGCCTGATTGCTAAACATAGTCACAACTGAGCTTGTTGATGGTTGTGTTCATTCATTAAAGGAGTGCCAAGCAGGGTCACTGGACCCTCACCTGAGTATCAGCCACTCTTCCCAACCAATTAGTCTAGCCTTGGAAGTCAAAAGAAAAATGAGGAAGAACCCAATAGAGGGATGCTTTTGGAAGCCCTTGTCCAGAAACGCCAGTGGACTCTCATATGAACATTTGAAAATTGCTCTGTTCTGACTTTTTTCTAGTTTCCTGTGTAGAACTTGTAATGCTAATTACTCTTGCCTTTACTTCTTCACATCTCCTATTCATGATTCAAGGACTACTTCTCCCCTTAGAGACAAGAGTTATTCTATTTGGGAATCTTTTAGATAGACCCACTGAAGAGGTACTCCAATTGCCTCACCCTGCGTCCCTGTTCAGCATGAAGAAGCCAGAGCGGTTGGAGTCCCTATTCCCTATTGGCAATTTGGGTAACCTCTTCAGAGGATGGTGTGATAAGAATAGGAGGTAGAAATTGGCTAGGCAGTTAGGGTAAAAAGACCCCAAAGAAATGTAGGCAGTTGCTTGGCTAAAAGTCTAAATGTCCTTGGGCATATTGCCTCTTAGTAACATACTCTGTTTCAAGGCCAAAAATGTCAAAAGTATTTGGGAGCTTGTATCTAATCCCTAAAAGATTTTAAGGTTACCTTTTCAGAGGGGGGAATGTTGGAGGGGAGGGAGTGGGCATGTATTTCATCAAAACATCTTATATGCATATATGAAATTCTCAATAAAGTTTTTGTTAAAAAAAAAGAAAATCACAAAAATACAATTTAAAAAAATCTACCTTTGGTAGACACCAAAGAATGATGATTTCCCTGAATTAGGAGGTAATCTTTGATTTCCTTGCCTCCCAGTTTCCTAGCTAGATATGTAGCCAAGCCAACTTTTACATTTATACTACCTTCTAAACCATTTTCTTATAATATTAGACATGGTGAAATGAAATGCCTAAACGATTTGCAGAGGTCCACATGAATACGTCTTAGATAAGGGAGAGACGATCCAGACTGCTGAAAATACACTCTCAATTCATCCCATTTTCTAGACACAGGCATTAGATTTTTCCAGTTTGATTTGAATTCAAACAAAATGAATGGACCTAGAATGTATATACTAAGTGAGGTCATATAATCTCAGAAAGTAAAAAACCATGTGTTTTCCCTCATGTACTGTTCTTAGTCTATAATGTATACATATACATATGTAAACAAATACATGTGTGGATATACTATAATATTTAGACTTGAGAAAAGCAAAGGCTAATTTTTCAAAGAAAAAGAGCATAGTTTTTGTTTTTCTTTTCATGGTAGATGTATGTCTTCAACTTTCTGTGTACCGAAGAAGCAGGAATCACTTCTGTATTCCATAAGAGTCCATTAGTGCTGTTACTTTAGGGCAGTGATTCTGCGAGTCAGGCTTCCTTTTTGATTCTGTAGACCAAAGTGCAGTGGCAATTGAACATGACTGGACACTGAATTGTTGGATATGTTGAATGAGATAATACCATTATTGTTCTTGGTAACTATTTTTATTTTGCTATAAGTTTTTTAATTTTCTAATAAAAAAATTAAAAAGTCAAAAATAGAATATTTTGTTAATTCCTTGAAGATTTCATGCAGTACATTTTGATCCTGTTCACCACTATCCCTCCCCCTAACTCATCCCAGAGGCTCACCTACCTGCTCATGTCCTCTTTTTAAAGTATTTATTTTAATTAATTTTAATTTTATGTGTATGAGTGTTTTGTCTGCATATATTTAATGCCTGCATGCAATATCTGCAGAGTCCAGAAAAGAGTGTTAGATCAGCTGGAACTGGAGTTTAGATGGTTGTTAACCACCATGTGGAGGCTAGGGACTGAACTTAAACTTAGGTTGTCTGGAAGAGCAGTAAGTGCTCTTAACCGCTGAATCATTTCCCTAGACTCTCTCTCTCTCTTTTTTTTAAAAAGAAGTTTGTACATAAGTACTATATTTACACTATTTCCGCCCCTACCTCTTCATCTTCCAATTCTTCCCATGCCCCTACTCTCTCTCAGCTCTTCCTTAATTATTATGAATACATATGTAGACACACACACACACACACACACACACACACAAATCACAACCTACTGAGTGGTGGTCCTTATGTATATGATTTAGAGCTGAACACTGGAGATTGGAGTTGGGAGGCATTGTATTACTGTTTCGATTTCCTTTTATGTTATGGGTCTGTTTATACTGTTGACTTCTTCGTGGTTTAACGTTGGTGATTCCCATGATTTCGGATATCCATCCATTTCTTTTAGGTTTTCAAATTTAGTATAGGTTTTTTAAGTATTCCCTTAAATACTCTGGATCTTTTGGGTGTCTGTTGTGATGTTTCCCCTTTCATCTCTGATTTTGTTGATTTGGATTTGCTCTTTCTTTCTTTTGGTTAACTGGGCTAAGGGTCTATCTTGTTTAGCTTTTCAAGGAATTAGCTCTTGGATTCATTGATTCTTTGTATTGTTTTCTTTGTTTGTATTTCATTAATTTCTGCTTTGATTTTTGTTATTTCTTCTTTCCTGCTGGCTTTTTTTTTGTTACAGAAACTGTAAGTGGCTTGAAGTAACACACACTGATCTACAGGTAATGTTCCTGATCTTAGTATCAGATCTCATCCCTTTGTGAGGAATCCAGTAGCCAGTGAGAGAAAAATTAAGAACACATAATGAAAAAGTAACAATCAAAAAGATAAAAAAATTGTTTTTAAAATCTGTTCTGTATCTTAAAACATGATTACCAAAATAAGTAAATTTACAGAGGAGTTTGAGAGGAAAAAAGTTATCATACCTGCAGCCTGGAGCTAGTAGCTGAAAAGGTGTGTGTGTATGCATAGAGATGGACATGGAGAGAAAGAGAGGTGACTTCTAATTTTAAACTCCAAGAATAAACCAAAAGACATGCAATGGTAGCAGTAATTCCAGGTAAACAACATTAGGAGTATGGGTTCTGCAAGATCTCCAGCACTTACTGGCTTGTCCAACCAATAGTTTGTCCATCCTCAGTAGAGAAAGATGTAATTACATTAT